CCATTCGTATGTCATGAAGTACATTCCACTGGCTGGAACATCTAGTAGGGCAAACAAAGACAGACTAAGAAGTGGGAAATAGAACGAGCTCTGGGATCATGGCAGCAGCCAGGATTGAAGTCCTGCAACCAGCTCAGTGATGGCATTGGTTTAACCAGATTCACTTTCTGAGCTTCCCTAGGGGGACCATGCAAACTGCCAGTCTATGCAAGAGCATTTCCAGAGGAAAAAGGTGAAGGGCACAGGCTGGGGAGTTTCCATGGAAACTTCTGTTCTTAAAGTGCCCAATTCAGATCTTCAAATCAGACTTACCTGGCTGTTGCTCACTGCCTGACTACAAGAATGGTCTAAGCTCCCTGATGCACTGGTGAGCAGCACAGCAGGTCAGTCTCAGGACCTTGGAGGTTTTTGCATGGGCCATTTGTTCTAATCAAACTGTTTGTATTGTAATGTTCTCCTGGAGCCCCTGAGTAGGATCAGGCAACTGGCTTCTGCCTGGCATGCTGTGATACCTGGCATAGTAGGCAATCCCATAAGGATGTTTCCTGATTGGGTGGAAATGTGAAATGCTTGAAGTTGCTCAATTTCTTTTAGTTATGTTCTGGGAAACTGATGCTGCTATATGGGCACCAGGTAACCTTGTTTAGAGGAGAAGGCATCCAAACATTTTTTTTTAATTTAGGCCCCAACAATTTCTTCTTCCCATTATAGGCCCATTTCTTAAGGGAGAAAGAGAGAGGGGACAAAGTATCTTCGCCCAAAGGTCCAAAACTCTTTACCAGGTGGAAAGGGCTACACTCCAGTAGTGTCCTTTGGGAATGATCTGTATTTAGACTGAAAGCCAAGAGTCTTGGGAGAGGGACTGTATTTACTGAGAAAAAGCTGGCTTCCTATCTTCTCATCCTGATAGTTTTTGTTACCCCTCAATTTATTGTGTTTTAATTGAGCTCTTCATCCCATGTCTTCTTGTACGTATCAGGCTCTTCCTTACCTCTCATTCCTGTTTGTTCTTCAAGTTCTATTCTCCCTGCCCCCTCCTCAGCCCCCAGCATCTTGCTCTAGATTCTCCCCTGAGTCCCAGGGAAAGCCACAAATACTGTAGAGACAGCAATGCAAAAAGTACACCTTAATGGACTACTGGCAACAGATTGAGATTTATGAGACTAGGCCAGTTTTGTTCCGATACTTCTCCTGGGGGGATTTCCAGCTGTTACCTCTCATGAGAGTGAGCACAGTTCCCTTGTACACGCCTCGAATTCCAGCCTCGCGATATAGCTGTTTCATACAGTCCACTGGGCCATTGTACTTAATTTCACCTGATGCAGCTTGGATCTGGAGAATTAAAGTGAATGATCACCAGCCAGAAACCACACCCCAAGCAGTGATGTGAGAGCTTTGTGCTTTCTAACGCTAAAATGCAAGTATAACTGTTAAAGCTCAGGCCTTTCCACACAAGCAGAAGCAGCTCAAGGGACAAACAAAGTCCATGGGATTTCTGTGGATATTTAGACAAAATGATATATTGCAAGCCAAGTCACTGGAGCCAGATGCTCTTCTCTTCAGGTTCTCTTCCATTTTACTGCTACAATTTCCCCTTGATAGGCAGCAAACATGACTGTGATGCAGGCACTTGTATCACCAGAGCAGATCAGCAAAAGCACCAGTGGTAAGACAGGCTGATCGCAAATTATAAGTGGGCACACAGCTCTCCAGCATTAAAGTAATCACCAGCTATCAGAGAGGCAAGCACCCATAACACATTTTTGATATCACTACTAGGATCTCTTACATTTACCAATATTTCTCTCCTACTGAGACCGAGAAGGATTTAGTTCTGTGCGTCTGCCAATCTATGCTTTGGTTAGACGACGTTTAACTAAGGGACGAAGTCCGCTCATGTTCACCAGTGTAAGCTTGAAATAACAGTCAGTTGAGGTACTCCACATTTACAGTGATCAGAATCTAACCCCAATTTAATTTTATGAAATTCAGACAATTTCTATAAGTTAAAGACATTCTGTGATAATGCTTTGTATGTTAGAACCAGTGTCTGACATCTACCACCACTCTAACACATGGCAGATTGGTAAAATGGGCAGATCTGATTTTTGCCACACATGATGCGACTGAATAAATGAAAATGTTTCCTAGTACACTTTAAAAAGCCAGAACAGTGACTGATCTTGAGTGTATGAATACTGGGACAATTTTACAATACCTGCTCCACATATTTTAAAATATATTCTTTGGTTACATGTGTGGACACCTGGGAATCTGGTGCAGAATCTTTATTATTGTTACCAGACCTAATAAACCTATGTGTTGTTCTCTAGGCTTCATTCTCCAAGAGAAAACTGGATACTTCCTAAATTTCAGAAGTGCCTAAAACATCAGATGCCATCCGAGTAAAATGCATGTGCTCTGTATCATGTATAGAGGAGTGAATGCTGTATTTACCTAACAGGCTGTCAAAGGGAGCTGCACAGTGTTTCTCCATGACAGAACCACATCAAATTATACTTCAGCCTGCTGAAATAGGTTTTCTAAATTTGGTAGAAACTATGCTAATCAGAGGAGTTATAGCATCCTGCCAGGACTTCACAGAGCAAATTATAAAAGTCTGGTAAAATTCCCACCACTGCCCAATGCCTTACCTGCAAAAGGCACTTGATCCTTTCTCCCGGTGCCATGATTGCTGTTGTGAACACTCCAGATAACATGCCAGCAGCAAACAGCTGAGGATAACTGCACAGAGTAACCAGGAAAAAAAACTAAAGGTCCTATGATTCATTAGGGGGGCTGGACTCGATGATCTTCCGAGGTCCCTTCCAGCCCTGATGTCTATGAAATCTATGAATTATCCATAAACACGATAGTTGGGGATAATCCTGCTTTGAGCAGGGGGGTTGGACTAGATGACCTCCTAACATCCCTTCCAACCCTAATTTTCTATGATTTTATAACATAAAAATCAAAGAAAGCAAGGTCTCACTACAATGAGACTTCACAGCCCATCCCTCTAAATTACAGACAAGACTGGCCATGGGATTTGTGACAGATCCATTTCAAGAACAGTCAGTACAAAAGAACTTCGTTAATGCAGTGTTGCAAGTTAAATACTTCAGAGAAGAGACTGGAAATTCAATGCTATGGTTCCCACAGCAACCGCCACTCAACTTCCTTGCATTAGTAGTACTTGCTGTAATTTACTGTGCTTAGGTTTTATGCTAGTGCCTTCCTCGCCAACACCTGGTTTTCTCTAGTCCTACTCACACTCTCTCCTTGATTTCAGCTTCTATGTTGATGAGCCATCCAACTCCCTGGCTAAGCATTTCCTTGCCATCATCTCTTCGTTTGACCTGCAGCCACAACTGAACTCTCAAGCTCATCACAAGACCCAGTTGCTCAGTCTAGTCTCCCTAAAACACCATTATCTTTGATCCATCTGTCACAGAGCTCTCCTCTCTGAGCATCACCTACATATCTTTCAGTGTGGCTTTGCCAGTCCTAACAATCTCCTGTCCGTCTTCTCCCTCCCTTGATATATCCAAAGGGATGATTGGATTAAAACGTCTCAAAACAAAGGCTGATCATGGAAATACTTTTGGCCTCGGTTATAGCAGCAATCCTGGGATTACTAAAACAACCTACTGAATGGATGTGTCAAGTTGCAGCTGGTCCTGGCTTGTGACCACAGGTCCTGTCAGATGGTAACACTAGAGTATGAATTCAGTCTTTCCACTCAGGTTCATTTAATAGTAGGACTGTTCTAAGTCTGTTGTTATGCAACACCTATTATATGTTCAACCAAAACAGAGTCCTTCTTTAATGGCTCTATTTTTACATAGAAAGGGAATTGCATTGCATCTGCCCACACATACCGTCTGTTTTTAGCCTGTGCTATCAGTCCCACACTTTGAGAAGCATTAAAACTCATCAGCCTTATATTTTTTTGAGAGATAAATTTATAATCAGAAGAGACAAATTTATAGCACATCTGAACACATAATTCAGCAAAACAGCCCAAGACCCTTAAGGCACCTTTCTTAAGCTAGGTAACTTGGAACTCACGTCAGAATGTCATCGGGTTTCCTCTGCTGGAGTTTCTTCCCCAGACCGAATCCAAAGAAGCACACAGCAAACATGGGAGACACTCCGATAATAGGAGCTGCCATTCCTTTATAGAGGCCTCGAACTCCCTGAAAGACACAGCCAGTTACCACAGGAGTTACCTGATTTTCTGTGGCACTCTACATGGTGAAACAATATCCTTTAGGGGGTTATGTACAACACTACACTTTGAGGGAAACAATTTTCAGTTTGACAGAACTCTTTCGACTCCAAACGCTTAGGAGGACACAAAGTTTCTGCAACACAAAACACCTCACCTATGGCTGCTATAAGGCACTCAAGGGATATAGTAGCATAACTGAGGTTACTGGGACAAGGCTGAATATTACTATGAAAAGGAGATGCCATGGTCCTTCTATTCAGAGACTAACACACGAATCAAGAATGTTTTGCCTTCGATACTTTCAACATGCTTCTACGTTTTCTTACGTTGACAGGCATGACTCACTAGTTCTACCCGGTTGCCATTATGCAAAAATTCTGCGTTGGAGAGACCTCAAACTTCAGCTCAGGCATCTCACCAGCAGATGGTATCGAGGATCTTCAGTAAAGAGAAAGGCCTAACTGTTCTTTGCTGTATAAACAGGGAAATATTTAGTCAAAGTAGGTGGTATTCTTGGACTCAGCATCAATGAGACTGTTCCTGGAACACCATGTCCAGTGCTGGTCTCTGCACTTCACAAAGGACACTGAAAAGCGGAAAAGGATTCAGAAAAGAACTACAAGAATGACTCAAGAATTGGGAGAGGACTTTCTAGTGACAGATTAAGATATTTATTCTACTTAGTTTAGTCCAATTCATTGATTACAAGCCTGCAAGTACGTACATGGAAGGGAGATTTCCAAATGTAGAGGGCTCTAAACAAATGTAGCCAACAATGGGCATAACGAGCCGATGGCTGGAAGCTGAAGTTACATAAACATACATAACTGGAAATAAAACACAAGCTTTTTTAAGCAACGGGGATAATTAGCATCAGGAACAACTTATTGGAGGACATGACAGAGTCTCTCTCTTCTAAAGTCTTCAAAATCAAGACCAGGTGCCCTTGAAAAAAACCAACACCCAACATATGCTTAGCTCAATCACGTGACAGAGGCTTAACCAGGAACTCCTGGCTAAACTGTAACATCCTGTGTTATGAATATTTGGTTTGACCTACATAAAAGTTACTTCTCACCTTAAAATCTATGAGCCTAAACTAACTTCTTCTTTCACCTCCCCAGAGATAAGCTACGAAAGAAGTTAAGGTATTACTTGAATTGACAAAAGTCAGTCTCTATTCTAGGATTTTCAGAGACAGCTCTGCATACCACAGGCATCAAGACTCCACCACCTACAACAATATGGCCAGCAAACACAACTGCCAATGCTCATTTCAGCCTTTAACTTTAGGTAGTAATACTGCAACGTTTCCGACTGTTGGTCTTAAAAAAGAAAAAAAAAAAAAGAATCGCGTGTAAGGGAGATCTAGACACAACGTCCTCCTCCAAATAGCTCCCTTTTCAAGTTCTGGAATCTGATGAAAAATCTGAATTTGAACCACTGGAATCGATAACCCGGGAATTTTATAGCCAAGGGGGCCGCATTCCCGCGCAATTCCATCCCAGTGACGTACGTGAGCAACTGACATTTTTGGCAGGCATTGCAAACGCCATGCTAACACAGTACCTCTTTAACAAGAGTCTTTCTGAAACAGTCAAAGGTCCCAGAATAGAGTGGAGACTGCCCAGGCTGTGGCTTTGGTTGGGTCTGTAGTCTGACCTGTTGAGAGAGAGAGAGAGAAGGAAACTTATAAAGGAAACTTTTTTCTTTTTACGTGCATGATGCTTCAACCGTGGTTCTAGAGCCCCATTAAATGACGATAGATGTTACAATTGGACATTACAATAGTGGTACATAAACTAGAAGTCAATGTTTCATCTTCTGCAAGAGCCTGAAAATGTGAATATCTTGAACTTTTTTAACAACGTTATAAATCTTATACTTATTTTGGTCGGCTTACATGCCTCGTCGCCCAAGGAAACATTGCTTACTCTCAAACTGGAAAACGGCCATAAAAAAAGTCATTTCACAAAGCTTCCTACCTCCAGCTCCATCGACTTTCAATTTTTTGGGCAGAACCAAGGCTTTTTACATTTCCACAGCCCCGCTTCCAGAGCCCTCTACGCAGGGAACTGCACCCTGCAGGGGCCTCGCCTCTGTATCGAGGTGCTCGGGAGTCCATCGGCCTCCTGCCCTGCACAGCACAGGTTTTGCCCTTTCACTCATGTCCCCAGCGCAGCTTCCCATGTGGCAAGAGCTTGGACACTGAGCTGGGCCAATCCTGCTTCTTCCGCCTGGTGCCTTTCCTCTCGGGCTCCAGGCCCGTTTGGCTTAGCGCTGTCTGAGCATGTAACCAAGCTGCCGCACTGGCCCAAGCTCCCGTGCCCCTCAATTACTAACCCTCTGCTATTTTTTGCCACGACAGTTATGCGTTTCATGCCTCAGCTATTTCTTTGGCTACAGACTAAATGGCCCTGGAAGCGCTGGCAGGACAAGCATGAGCCAGATGAGAGCAAAGCAAGAACTAGGTGGAGACAAACAGAGCTCAAGGAACGACGCTGCACCTGGAGCGAACGGCTCCTCCAGTGCGTAGGGCGCCGGCCTGCTGGAGCTGAGCCCCTGGCTCCTGCACGGAGCGGATCGCTTGGGGCCAGACCCTCGAAGCCATTCGGGCACCAAGCGCCTATGGAGAGCTGGCACCAGGCACAGACCCTAGAGAGGAAGGGCTATACTGGGGGGCAGAGGCTGAAACCCCTTGTCCACAGCGCCCAGGAGCAGTGCTGCCCCTGGGGCCTGGGGAACAGCTTGGGCCCAGGAAGGAGAGAGACCCAGGGAGCTCCGGCAGGGCCTGAGCAGGGGGTCCCCAGGGAACTCCCCCGCACCTTCA